TTCTACTAATTTTCAACCACACATTCATCAATAAAATAATATTTTCCATCACATCAATAACTTTTCCTTCATTTTCAACCACAAAAAAGGTGTGATTTGACACAAAGAATACATTTTTTTCTAGAATAATGGTTACCAAACGGTGCCTAATTATTTGATTTTTATAAAATTTCATTAGGAAAAAAAATTGCTACTTCGGTGACTAAATAATCAGCAGCATACCGTAACAAAATTATGTTTTTTCAAAGTCAGAGAATTGAAATGAAAAACTTTTAAGAAAATTGTTAAAATAAAAAAATGACAAACTCGATTTCAGAATCAGTACCCACGATTTCAGTTCAAGAATCAAAAATTGTTCGGTTCCCATCGATTCTTAGTTTCGATTCTAATTGTTTTTGGGAACTGATTCGATTCCCATTGTAAAAATTTGATTCCGATTAAAATCTCACCTCCACTGAGAAAATGCCTTCATTCATTTTATTCTCTAATCAATTTTGTCATATCGTGTTCCAATAATAATTGAGGTATATTTCCTAAGTGCGTGCAAACAAAGTCGTGTAGCAGGAAATGGACCCATTGTTTCTACTTACCAAAGGCGTAGGCGTATGCGTATGCGTATGCGTTGTCAACTCGAAATACAACACGGTCACGGATAAGAACATTTGAATTTTGACCACCCACCGGTCTTGCACATGGTTTTCGTGTTACTTTTGCTGTTGGTTTTAAATAAAATACTTCAACGCAACAGCACGGATACACTGTCCCCAGCTTGTTCATCCAAACCATATATAAATCTTCAAGAATCGCCTACGAATTCCACACCACAAATTCATAAAAACCAAGTACTAAAGAAACTTTCTTTCTCAATTTTCTGTCATGGTGCTTTCACTTGGCCAGTCCCTAAAACCAAATCGCCACCATAACTCAGAAGCCTTATCGGCTTCATTATCAAATTTTCGATCCGAAATGTCGAATCTTCGTAACCAGCTCGCGTTGAAATCTGAGTCAGAATTTCTGTCCCTGCCATGGTTTCTCCGTTGCTATGAGATGCTGAATATGAGCAACAAGGCTTTTGCAAAGCTGGCTGTGGATATAGACTACCCCATGAGCAAATGGGGAGATGCTGCTACACAAGAATATCTTGACTACACCTTCAACTCGATGAACCTGCTGAACTCCATTAGCTCCTCTCTTTCTCATTTAAGCCAGGCAAAGCTCGAGCTTTCTCACGCTTTGAGCCTCGTCAAGAACTCTCCTTCCTCTGCAGCACAACTTCTGAAGAAAATTCAGGTGAAGGGTCCTAGAAATAATTTCAAAGCGGAAATTTTAGCTAAAAGTGAAGAGATGGGTTGTTCTAAGAAGGAATGTGTTGTTCTTCAAGCTTTGCTTGTAATGAAGAGCACTGGATTATGGGTTATTGGCTTGGTCTTGTTGGGTCTCTGCGGTGACATCAAACCGTACCTGGAAATACGGAAATCTGCAGCTTTATCCGATAGTTCTTTACCAGAAGAAGTGGAATCCAGAGTCTGCAAATTGATCATAGAAAAAAAGGGGGTGATGGAAGAGTTGAAACAGCTGATCAACAAGGCTGCGGCGCGTCTTGCAGAGGTTATACCCGGCGAAAGATGGAATGATGCTGCAGAAAAAGAATTGAAGACAAGATTAGAATTGTTAGAAAATTTAATCCAGGGCATAGAGAAGCAAACAAATAATTTGTTCTCTGAATTTCTAGCTGCCAGAGACAAATTGCTGGACTGCTTTCGAAATACGAAACACAAGCCATAAGCCAAGTATTTCAGAATATTTAATTTGTAACTAGATGTTCATGAATAAAAAATATACATTACAAATTTGTATAGACTTCTAGTCAGTATTAGGAAGATTAGTCATCTTGACTTCTTGAGATTTTTCAACTGTTTATCAATTGAATTTCAGTGACAATCAGATTCTTAAATAAGTTTTGCAGCTTTACGTATACAGGATAACAAGCGAAAAAATACAATAAACCTTCGCTCCAAACCCCTTTATTATTGTACGCAAAAAGCTGAAACTGAAAAAATTGATGCTTCAACATAAGGTTAACGAACTATATTGAATTCGACTTTCTTAAATAGCTCCCTATTCCAAAGAATCGAGGCATACCAACTTGAATATGAAAATTGCTTTAATGGGCTTCACCAACAAATGCTAGTTGGGGAGGTTTGAGCAATAAAAAGTGTTGGGGGAAATAATGATATTATCATGCAATAATTTGGACAGAATAACGACTTGCAAAAATGAATGAAATGATAATGGTCGATGCAAGAGTTCGACTCTTTCTCCTTAAGACAATAATACCACACACTGGTGCTGACGGTATTTTCGACACTCATCTCCCAAGATACAACGACCTTGACTTGTAAAATAGCACTCCAAATTACAAGACCCGACGAACCTACTCACGTTTTTTATCTCTCTAAAATTGGAGGACTAAAATGCACCAAAATAACTTTCAACACCGAAATGCAAAATATGGAATAATGCAGGGATGAATGAATATAATTTGCAAGAGAGAAAAATCAGAATTGATTTTGGATTGAATGAAATTCGAGGTATGAGGACATTTATAAAGAAGTTGAAAAGTTGTGTCCAAAAGACACAACAGTCGAATTCGCATGCAGATTCTAGAAGAAGTCACGTGTCGCATGCAGAAAATTCGAGGAAAATAACTAATATAAATAAATATATTATTATTTAAAATAATAATAAAATAATAAAACTTTACCAAAAAAATATATACCAACTTGATTCAAAACCACAACCCACGACCCGTGTGGCTGATCGGACGGCGACAACGTCACGCGCGTGTGAGTTTTGGCTCAACCCAGTAACATGTAGGTTCTCTCCCCTTCAAACACTATTGGAACCCCTTGAAACCCAAATCCAAGTCCCAAATTTGAACAATATAAAGTGATTTCTATTCTTCTAGTTTTTATATGTGGGATTGTCATTTTTCAATTTTTCACCAATTTTTATTCCCAATTTATTTCAATTTAAAGTGGTCATCTTTTGACCTTAATTTCTCGTTCGTCCTAAATTGGTTTTGAGAAAATAAATATATTACACTAATCTACTCATAGAGTATAACATACTCGATTAAAGAAATCTTTTGTCCAACTAACGAACCCACTAAAATAATTGGTCAAACCAATTAATTAAACCAATTTTTTCCAAGAAAGAGTACTTTCAAATGGCTGACAGAAGAACAAATAAACAGAAACTGATTCACAAAAAAGATCGAAGAAATTCATAAAATATTATGTGCCAATCTTTAGTGCCTGTTTGTCAACTATTATTGAGAAGAAAATGGTGTAATAAACAGTATTTTTTTGAAAATGTGTGGTTGAAATCGAAAAAGTCAGTATTAGGAAGATTAGTCATGTGACTTCTTGAGATTTTTCAACTGTATCAATTGAATTTCAGTGACAATCAGATTCTTAAATAAGTTTTGCAGCTTTACGTATACAGGACGCCAAGCGAAAAAAATACAATAAACCTTCGCTCCAAACCCCTTTATTATTGTACGCAAAAAACTGAAACTGAAAAAATTGATGCTCCAACATAAGGTTAACGAACTATATTGAATTCGTTTTTCTTAAATAGCTCCATATTCCAAAGAATCGAGGCATACCATCTTGAATATGAAAATTGCTTTAATGGGTTTCACCAACAAATGCTTGTTGGGGAGGGCTGAGCAATAACAAGTGTTGGGCAAATAATGATATTATCGTGCAATAATTTGGACAGAATAACGACTTGTAAAAATGAACGAAATGATAATGGTTGTTGTAAGAGTTCGATTCTTTCTCCTTAAGACGATAATGCCACATACTAGTGCTGACGCTATTTTCGGCACTCATCTCCCAAGATACGACGATCTCGACTTGTAAAGTAGCACTACAAATTACAAGACCCGACGAACCTACTCGCATTTTTTTCTCTCTAAAATTGGAGGACTAAAATGCACGAAAATAACTTTCGACACCGAAATGCAAAATATGGAATAATACAAGGATAAATGAATATAATTTGTAAGAGAGAAAAATCAGAATTGATTTTGGAATGAATGAAATTCGAGGTATGATGACATTTATATAGAAGTTAAAAAGTTGAGTCCAAAAGACACGACAGTCGAATTCGCATGCAGATTCTAGAAGAAGTCACGTGTCGCATGCAGAAAATTCAAGGAAAATAAATATATTATTATTTTAAATAATAATAAAATAATTGAATTTTAACAAAAAAATATATACCAACTTGACTCAAGACCACAAGCCATGATCCGTGTTGGCTGATCGGACGGGGACAACGTTTCGCGCGTGTGAGTTTTGGCTTAACCTAATAACATGTAGGTTCTCTCCCATTCAAATACTATTGGAACCCCTTGGAACCTAAATCCAAGTCCTAAACTTGAACAATATAAAGTGATTTCTATTCTTCTAGTTTTTCTACGTGGGATTGTCATTTTCCAAATTTTCACCAATTTTTATTCCTAATTTATTTCAATTTAAAGTGGTCATCTTCTGACCTTAATTTTTCGTTCATCCTAAATTGGTTTTGAGAAAATAAATAAATTACATTAATCTACTCATAAAGTATGACATACTCAATTAAAGAAATCTTTTGTCCAACTAAGGGAACCCACTAAAATAATTGGTCAAACCAAGTAATTAAACCAATTTTTTTCCAACAGAGAGTACTTTCAAATGGCTGACAGAAGAACAAATAAACAGAAACTGATTCACAAAAAAGGTCGAAGAAATTCATAAAATATTATGTGCCAATCTTTAATTCGAGAAAGTGGCTTTGTAAGAGAATCTACTAGTTGATTGCAGTGTGAACATGAGAGAATCATGATTTTATGATTTTATTTTAATCCAAAATATAAGAAAAATCGGGATAAAAATTTATCGACGCTTAAATTTGAAGTTTAGAATTTATGATGGGGCTTGATTGAATGAAAGTGGAAAAGTCGGGTTGAGGACAAAGAAGTTTACGTTCCTTTAAACCCAACCGAGCAATCATCTTTGAGGCTTTTGTACGACTTATGTGTTCGTCGAAATTTCACTATTCGAAATTAGTTGCCAAGTACACAATGAGACCTTTGAAATGGTATCCAGTTTGTATATATAGAGGGCGTTTGGATGTTATTTTTTACTCTTTATTAGAAGAAACATAGCGGTTATAAAATGAAAGTTGCGAGATCAAAGTAAAAAAAAAAAAAGTTAAATGGGCCCATAAACAGTAACATTTCTTCTAAAAATGAGGTAGAAAATGACAAACACGTGATTATAAAATGAACCAAAAGTTGAAAAATCGATAAGAACTAAGAAAATTCTAGCAACTCCAAAGTTCGAGGCGCACGCCTCATAAATGGTGAAGCAATTGCTCTTAATTAAACTAGGAGAAGTTTGAGTTTTGCCTTTATATGAGGACACAGTGACACACAAAGTAAAAAATTACGTTCTTTTAGAATTTTGATAGATATATTTAGGAACTAGGGATCATCACATGTGGTGTGACGTGTGATATGAGGTGAAATTGTGCCATGCGAGTGGGGATCATGTCGTTTAGGAGTGAATTCTATTGAGCATTTTCCTATTGCCTAGCTAGCGGTTACATAGGTGTGGCAATTCTAGCCTTACTTGACAGTTGATAGGGACAAGATTAAAAAATGAACTATCTTTTTAGCATACTTCGTTTTTTTCTTAAATACAACTTAGACAGATAAAAAAAATACAAAAATAACAGAGTTGGAACAAATTCGGGGCAATAACCATATTTTCCATGTCATAACAAATTTTGGGCTAGACGAGACGAGACCTTATCTCAATTCCTACACATGATGGGACATGTCACGTTTTTTGCTATTCCTATAACTCCACCTTTTCCTTGTGGTCTTAGACTCGAGTCCCAATACATGAAACTATAACTCATCGCTCAATAATCTTCCTTGATTTTGTAATTGCACAAAAATGTAGCCTATAGGCAACACCAAACAAAAGCATTTTTTAAAGAATACCTAGAAAAATGTAAACTACAACCATGGCCTCTTTGAAATTAAGAGTAATGTTATTTAATTTCAGTAGTGCTAAGCTCTCATTTTCGAGTCAATGGGTCAATAACATTCAATTGGTTTAGATAAATTAGTTACTATTTCAACAAATTGAATGCTATGAACCTCAATCTCACATAGGCGGGTGCTTAGCACCCTTGGGAGTAAAATTTGTCTCTCTTTGACTTTTCAAAGAGAACCTAATGGTTCTCTTAATTTCGATCTTACCATTTTATTTTGATTTGAACAAGATTGATTTAGAATAATCAATGAATTAAAATGTTTGGTATGACATGTCCTACCTACAAAGGCAGCCCAACTCGTGAATGAAATAGACCAGGCCGGTCGGTCATGTGTGGGAGTCACACGGTCATGAGCAGCTCGTCCTACTTCTAAAGCCCTAATTTATTTTTGAACAAAATATTTAAGAAAGGTTATAAGTATCTTATAGTTTATTTTGCATTAGTGTTCTGGCATTAACAACACTCCAATGGAATATTCCATGCGCATTAGCTCCCTTTCATAGCCCAATAAGTTTTGGTGATACAATTAATTAAACACAATGCTTAATTATCCTTAGAAGACTTTATAAACGATCTAAGTTATTTAAATATATAAAATAAGTGATAAATAAATAAATATTATTTTTAAATTCATTAAAATTATATTAAGTCACTTGTTATTTCATTGA